TATGTAAGTACTTAAATGGATTTTCTTACACGGATCAAAAAACAAGTTTTAATTGAATGAAACATATTTCGACTTTTAGAAAAAAGTTTATAAGGATAATTTTCGTATTAATTTCAAATTAAAGATTCTTAAGGAAAGTGTTTCTTATAAAAATATAGACTGAAAGGTAATAAACAGCCTTGAATATCAAATAAACAGTCTTTGTAAGTTTTAAGATTCGAGAATTTTAGTCAAGATCCATCTATGGTACAGATATTTAAAACGTGAAAGAATTTTGAATGTTAGGTTACCAGAACTTCACCGCTACTGTGTAAAATGATCCCAAGAATAGGGCGAGATGTGAAGTTTAAAATACACCACTCTGTTAGAGTTATTCCATGAGTTTTTTAATTCTTAGAAAAGTATGAGAAATTCACATCTCTTTCACCAAAACAATATTGTACAAGGAAAACGACAGTTGCCTTTGGTGAAAAAATTGTTTTAATCTAAAGATTTTATTATAACTTATTATATACATGTCACTGTTTCCTATGGAAAAAATTAAAAGAAGTTCTTTGTTATCGTCACAAGATAGAAAAGTGAAATTGCTGGTTGATAAGTGCTAATATTTTTAATTAACAAAATGTGCGAACTGACGGTTAACTAAAATCTGTTTGGATGTGTAGGCAATCATACATTACCATGATAAAAATAAGAAAACAGGTCTGATTCCTAGACAACGAATAATAGTAAAAATAATTTTAGTCTCATGTGCTACGTCTAATTGTTGCATGTTGTTGAGGCCAATTGGTAATAATTCAGTATAATGTTTCAGCTTAAATATTTATGAACGCTTTTCAATTACCATCGCTATAGAATCAAATCTCTATTTATAAATTTTGAAATGACACAAATCCTGCCGATTCATTGAGCCATTTATTATTATATCAAAATATTCATATTTATTATGTCAAAATAATTTTATTGCGATAATCATTACAAATTGATTATGATTAACATTCGTTCAAATATCTTTGATGATCTATGCAAAATATAATAAATTTATTTTGAGATTAAAATTAAATAAATTTTACGGTCGTATTTAATGAAATTTATTCTAATTTTCTAATAAAAAAATAGTATTGCTATCATTTATTACGTCTACTTTGTTTATATTCATTTTTTATAAAGAAAAGTAATTCAAGTGAAGGAATTGTCAATTGCAAAAGAAACTTAAGATAAAAACAAATTCAAGAAAACAAGAGATCCGTTTTTGCCCAGAAATTGCAACACCAGTTTCCTTTATTAATAAAGTTAAATAGCAATTTGGTTTCCAAACAGTAAAGAATGTTTGTTTTTTAAGCGAATTGCAGCAATCCAAAGTTGATGGTAAAAAAAAGCTTTTCTTTCTTGGCTCTCAAGTACACTTGTAATTGAAACAATAGATGACAATATAAAATAAAATTTACGAAATGAATTCTGTCTGATTTTTTTATTTATACTTAAAAAAGTTTTTTATGTCTTTTATTAAAAAATATTGCGTTTTAAAATGTGAATATAAAAATAGATGTATTTTCAGGAATATTTTTCCTTGTCTGTTTGAAATTAAATATCTATAAATACATCTAATGAAATTTTATTGTAAATATTTTTATGAGAAGACAACGTAATAAAGTTTGAGTTTAATTGAAAATATGTGATTCATCCAAATTTCAGATATCTAACTAATCCAAATGCTCGAAATTGTTATCCCCTGTTGATATTTTAATAGGAAAATACATAATGAATAAAGTAATTATGCCACCAGTTATCAACTTTTTCTTATCAATTAAGCAAAAAAATATCTAATAGACAAATATTAATGAAATATAAATGAAAAAACCAGAGTGTGTACATATATAAAAGCGCATTTTATAAATATCTTCAATCATTGTGTGTGTCATAAGTTTGTATATGCACTAATGTAAAATGACATCTTCTGAGGGTTTATTGTATCTTTCCAAGAAATATTATAAAATATTAAGAGTGATGACTTTCAAATGTTTCACACCAAGAAAACGCTGTCTAAGTTCATATATACATTACAAATATTAAAAAGGGGTTTGTTTCTGTTTAAAATAATCAAATATAAACATCGTTTCCTGAAATGTTATAATAGTTTCCTTCAAATAGGTTTGTTTCCACTAGGAATGAGCAAGAATTCCACTGAGAGTAAGGATTAAGTTTGTAACTATTAAGAAATAAATATTTAAAAATGAAAACAGTTTATCAAAAAGATAAATAATATTATGAGAAAAAAATCTTTAAAAAATAGGTAGGTATTGACAGTGAAGGGCAATCAGAAAACGTGACGTCGCACAGTCCTAAACATCATGTGACATTACTTATATTGTTTATACTTTCATAGAACACAATACACAAAATCCATAATTTTACTACAAAGTGTAAAAGAGCACATTAAAATTTAAGAAACTTTTATATAAATTTTAGCTTTATATTTAATATTTATGTTATAAATTAAATGCCTTTCTAAGTCTACAAAAGGAGCTTATAATGTTGTAGAGATTTCTTTTCTCACTATTTGTTAAAAAGGAGCAGATTTAAGTTGTAGAGCAACGAAAATGCTTTTTATTTTTTAAAAACATACAAAAATATTTTTGAATTTAAAATAAACATGATAGGATTTATATTGAAAAATTCGTAATAAGACAGCTTAACTGGTAAATTGACTGGAATGCAATATTCCGAAGGTTCTAGATCAAAACTTGCTACTGTCAGCTAATTTTATATTTTAAAATTTTTAAATTGAAATATTAACTCAACAATGCCTTATAAGTCCAACAAATCAAACAGCTATCCAATTGAAGACTAATAATTGATATATAGGTTTCGACGAAACAAATTAGAAATACATTTTGACTGAAAATTTTTTTGTCCAGCCTGACACTTCTATGTAACCCCACTAACGGTATCCGACTGGTCTTGACAAAGTTATGCACTTGACAATTATTCGCTTTTGCATTTACGTTATTTAGCTTAACATATGTCAGAACGTATTAAAAATATTAAATATCCAATGCTGTGATTAATAAGCTAGTATAAGCTTTTTCGAAGTATTTTAAAATTTTATCATGATTTATTTTTTATTTCATATTATTACATCATTAATATTATTACGTTTTTTGGATTTTATAACATAGCAATATATAAATAATTTCATGACTTCAAAAATACATTTTTGGGTATCAAAAATACATTTTTTATATCTACCAAAAAATATTTTAAGCATTATTAAATTTGAACGTACGTCGTTTATAAGGGGGTTCTATTATCACGATTAAAGTTAATTGAAACAAAAATCACTTTTATTATATAAGAAAGTCTTATTTTAATATCTTGTTAAGTTTTCAGCTAAGTTCAATATTTCAGCTGCGCAAATTTAATAGTTGGATGGATGAAATGACTTTTGCAACTAATATATGTATTCATTCAATTCACTTTGTGTAGATGCATATTAAAAGTTTTTATTCTTACATGACTCTCAGGAAGTAGTCGTTGATATCTTTTAGAGTCTTCTCAACTAAAAGATTTTAAAAAGCAAAACGCCAACGTCGACGAGAACAATCTGAACTAAAGCATTTTCATTAATTTTAACATTCAAGAGAACTTAGTAAACGCGTACGTTTTAATTATATATTTAATGAAGTTCTATTATAGTTTTAAATGCATTATTTTTCCCAATGAAGTAATGTAGTTGCTAACTTAGTTTATGATGATAGCAGTCTGTTAGAGCTGCCAATTCAGCTTTATGGACCTAATAACAATTTCAGTTAAAACGCTGAATAAGATAGCAGTTTACGGATGACCGTAGGATAATCGTGTGGACAGAATTTAATCATTATGTTGATGCCGTATTAATTATCTTCGTATAATACTCTAAATTCTAAGATTTACTTGTTGTTCTTGAGATATCAAAATATCTTTACTATTATATTATTGTGAGGAGCATAAACTCTTAATAATTAGCAAAATATTACTCATTTAATAAATATTTATACCATAGTTCTAAATAAAAGCACTCAAAGAAAACAAGTGTATTTATTATTTGAATATAATTTTTATTAATCAAAAAAGTTGCCTGTATATTAATGTGTAATTTACTATATTTAAATTAAATTTAGTATGGGCTTAGTGTTAATTTATGAGACGTCGTCATATTGATAAAAACTTTGCTGTCCATCGAAATTATTTTGCCTCGTAATAGTTAAGGGAATTGGAACATAATCAAGCAAAGAGCCTAAATTGAAGCGTATTATTTAGTTTCTTGCGTAATGGCTTTTCACAGGCTAAAAATATTTTATTTAGAAGTATGAATAGTAAAAAGTTTTTGTTAATTGAAACTATAACATGTACATATATACTTTTATACATATGAATGTGCATGTGATGGTAAAAAATAAAACTAAGTTAGTATTATTTTCTTAATTATTTTAATTTAACTTTTATTTGTTGGTTGAAGTTTAGGTATATTAGGATAATGGAGTCTTTGTGAATTTTATTTCTTTCATAGGTTTAAAAAACAGACTAATATAAAATTTTAAATTTATGATTAAGTTTACAAACTCCGATGGAGCAATAAACATGAAACATACCGTTTAACTGATTAATGCTAGTAATTTTTTTTTGCCAAACACATATATATATTTTTAGAATCTTGAGTGGAGGTAGATTAAAAAAAAAAACAATAACTTTACAAATCAAATTATTTACTTCTATAATCTAATTTTCATAATCAAAATTAACATGACAAACAACCATTAACTATCAGCACTATAACACAATTAAATAACGAACAGCAAATGTGAATAATTACGACTCACCGCAAATTACGCCGATCACCACTTACACAACCTCACTGTCTGAAATATCGCCGCCAAAATGACCAAATAGCGCTTGCGCAGGCGGTTTTATAATAGTGAGTGGGTGACGTCATAATTCGCAGTAGATTACAATAGTTTATGCTAATACGGCCTCTCCTGATCATGCGCCGTCCTCGGATGCATCTCCAGAGGAGCCAGAGGTGGATTGGCAGGATCAGACAGTCCAGCCTGATCATTCTCGTCAGCAATGCCCACAGGATTAGTGGGATCAGCACGTTCAGTTTGATGGTCATCATCAGGAATACTCGCGGAGTTGGAGGGTCCAGCTTGAACATCGTCATCCTCATTGTCATTGCCTGATGGTGGGAAACAAGGGTTAGTTGCTAGGTCACAAGTTAAAATTGCCTAAACTTTCATTCATCGCTCTTTCAAGGCCCCCGTTCAATGAGACTCATTAAGCTATTTGTAACTAAATTCTTTGCTAGCACACGTATTTACACACATAACGGCATACATCATCTATCATATGTGTTGCAACACTCAATCGTTCTCAAAACCTATACACGTTAATAACGTGTCTGCAAGGCCGAAGCCTTATACACATACGGCGATGTGTCTGCCAGGCCGAAGCCCAATACACGTACAACAACGTGTCTGCCGGGCCGGAGCCCAATACACGTACAACAACGTGTCTGCCAGGCCGAAGCCCAATACACATACAGCGATGTGTCTGCCAGGCCGAAGCCCAATACACATACAGCGATGTGTCTGCCAGGCCGAAGCCTAATACACATACAGCGATGTGTCTGCCAGGCTGCTTCTCGCATACATGTCTATGCGAAACACAGCACACCAAAAGCGAGTCCTTACTTCACTTGACCCATACAACTCGCATGAGTCGACATCTCTCTCACCACACCGTAAGTATGTGTATGAAAGCCACTGAAACATATAAACATTAGGAACTCACTTTCAAAAAATGCAGTACAACTCTCGGGACACCACTCTCCTTTCCATGGCACCATGTATTGTGCAGCCGCTTGCGTGGTTTTACCACGGGCGCCGCATAACAACTTCAGTTCATAACGGTCACATGGTAGAACCTTGGTAACACGGTAAGGGCCTCTCATGCCCGAATCAAGTTTGCCAGTAGATTGGGAATTCTTTATGACAAACGCCTGGTCATTCACTTGAAATACTCTGGGAGGGTGTCGATGACGGTTCACGTGATTATTCTGCTGCCCTTGATTCCGTTTTAAAAGTGACCTCGCTCGACTACGGGCGATCTCACGCATTGCTTCGTGGTTTGGCTTTGAATTTTCGACGGCAATGTCACGGACTAGCGCACGAATTACTGGAGTGGTCGCATTAGTACCAATCAACAAATAGAGTGCCGAAAATTGAGTAGTTTTTTGTTTCGTGACATTTAATACTAATTGAATTTTAGCAATTACATCTGACCATTTCTTATTATTGTTTCGGCTCTCTACTCGAATTAGGTTGAGAACGGTTCGCACATACCGCTCAGCCTGCCCGTTAGCATGATGCATCTCCGGCGTTATGTAATGGATATCGCACCCAAGTTCAGATACCCAACGCACAAATCCGGAAGACTCAAACATGCGACCACGGTCACATACTAATAGTTTAGGCGTACCAAACAAGGATACGGCAGAATTAAACACTCGCTTGAGCTCATCAGTGTCTTGTCTATACATGGGGTACAACAAGCAAAACTTAGTAAACGAATCTACCACTACTAGAACAAATTTATAGCCGTTAGACTCCGGCAATGGTCCTAGGACGTCAACATGGACCGTGCTGAAAGGGACATCGGGCTTTTCCCATGATGTTATGGGTTGTTGTGGAGCGCGTGGGATTCGTTTTTTTGATATGCAAATTAAACAGTGTGCAACATACTTTTGAACAAACTGTTTGAGTCCGGGAAACCAGAAGTGTTTTAAAATGAGATCTAGTGTTTTGTCCGTTCCAACATGGTCATGCTCGTCGTGAAAAACACGTAATAGGCTTAGTCGGTGTCCTTTGGGTATGTAACATAACAAGCGCGCTTCTTCGCCTATTGGTGTGTAACGGTAGTATAAGACACCATTTTGACATATATAGCGACGCGAATCCAAAGCGCCCTCGTTCAACTTTTGAATGAGATCTTGGCACTCATCATCAGCGGTTTGAGCCATTTGGGCCCAGTTCAGAGGTCTTTGTATATGGTGTACTCGCGCTGTTGGTGGATTCCTGCTTAAATAGTCAGCGTGACCCATCATGACCCCCTTTCGATACGCAATGGTAAAATTAAAATCTTGCAGGTATATCCACCAACGTGCAACACGTGGGAGTAGATCTTTTTTACGCTCAGTGGCCTTCAGAGCATTGCAATCGGTTATTATTTTGAATTGTAACCCAATTAAATAGTGCCGGAAATGTTGCAGTGCCCTGACAACCGCTAGTGTTTCCAATTCATACGAGTGGTACCTACTTTCTGCCCCCTGAGTAACCTTACTATAGTAAGCTACCACACGTTTACTATTGTCAGAGTGCTCTTGCATGAGCACAGCCCCATAGCCGGTGCTGCTTGCATCTGTATGCAGCTCGGTAGGCAAGCTTGGGTCAAAAATAGATAAAATGGGTTCGCTTGTAAGTTGGGTAATGATGTAATCGCGGACTTTGTCTTGTTCGTCCCCCCACACGAATTTAACATCCTTTTTAGTAAGTCGTGAGATGCTGGCAGTCTTTGTTGCATAACCCTTAATATATCGACGAAAATATCCAGCTAAGCCGAGAAACTGACGAACCTGCTTTACATTAGTCGGGGTAGGAGAGTTTACCAATGCCTCGATTTTTCGAGGGCTCGGTCTAACCTGACCATGACAAATTACCCTGCCTAAATACTCTATTTCAGAGGTAAGGAAAGCACATTTCTGAAGGTTGATCGAGAACCCTGCCTCCGTTAAAGTTTTAAGGACTTGCCGAAGCAGATTGATACCCTCATCAATAGTCATACTTAGAATAAGCACGTCATCTATATAAACGAGTACTTGTCCCAAATCAATGAATTTTCTAAGTGTGTTATTAATGATTCGCTGATAAACCGTTGGAGAATTGCATAGACCAAATGGCATTTTAAGATACTCGTAATGACCTTCGGGTGTAACGAATCCGGTTTTGTGTATAGAAGTCTCATCAATAGGGATTTGATGGAAGCCCGATGCCATATCTAAACTGGTGAAATACTTAGAGCCTCCTAAACGATCTATGTGGTCTTCGATCAATGGAAGTGGGTACCGGTCTTTGATTGTTATGCGGTTGAGTGCCCTAAAATCTACGCACATTCTATCGGTACCGTCCTTCTTTTTAACAAGTATAATTGGGCTAGCGTACTCGGAATCAGACTCTCTAATAATTTTTTTGTCAAGTAAATCCCTAACTATCTCGCGTACTTTGAGTTTCTCTTGATAAGATAACCTGTAGGGGTGATATGCTATAGGTACGTCACTCGTCAAATTAATGTGCATGCTGCCTGTCTTAACCGTGGTGCCTGTCTTAACCGCGGTACCGGATATAAGAAACGGTTTATAGTCATTGATGACTTCCATGAGGAAATGAAGATGTTCGCCCAGAAGGGGTGTATTTATCTTATTTTGTTTATTATTTTCGGCGGGTTGAACGTGTTGAATTAATTTAGGACTATGTGTTAGGTATTGTGAATCTTTAGTGCGAATAAAAGTAACGCCATCTCTGTTGAGGACGTCGGTCCCGATAATGACGGGTGTACACATACACGATGCGGGTACAATCATAAAATCTACGTCAAGTGCAATATTGTTAAACTCAATCGTGAGCGTCACGAATTCGCGGGCAACAACTTCGTTATCACTAATCCCTTTTAACATACAGTAGGTCGGCTTACGTGAACAAGAAAAATGTTTTAAGACATCTGCCGATATAAGGGATACATTAAGTGCACCGCTGTCTATTAAAACATCCACTGGTATGCCTTGTATTACGGCGGTAATGATGTCGTTACTAGCGATTTATTTGGAAATGCACTACATAAATTAACCTTACGTTGATTTGTGTTTTGACTCTCAGATCTAGTTCTGGCAAAACAATCGGTTTCCTTATGTCCGAACTTTTTACAAAATGAACAAGTGATTTTAACAGTACTTTCAGATACCTTACGATTCTTGGAACAGTTAATTTTCTTGTGTCCCGTTTGACCGCATGTGTAACATTTGGTATCAAGTCTGCCCGTATTCATACGTTTTTTAGTTGTAGTACTAAATAAGGCATGATTGTCTATTCTACCGCGGCCTGGTTTAACATAGATAGCCAAGAACGAAACCAAATTCTCGGTTGTAAGGTTTGCATTCGAAGCCGCAGCTTTAACTTGCGCGTCAGTTATGCCACGAATGACGATTAGAACTATTAGTTCCTCGCTTAGGCCCGGAATGATACGTAAGCGCAACAGTGAACGACGAGCGTACTCCGCGTATGTCGGAAAATTATCCGAAGTAATATTCATAGCGTCGAATAGCATTTGAGCATAATCAATCTTTTGCGGGCAGAGAGACTTAAATTCTTTTTTAAAATTTGTCCATGAACGATCGTTCGTCGACCACTCGTTAAGCCACATTTTGGCGTCCCCTTTCAGACAGTGAGCAACTCGCGATAAGCATTCTAAATCCTCCCAACGATTAGATACCCTAGCGCGTTCAACTTCATCGCACCACACCTCAAAGTTGTTGACAGCCGGATCAAAGTTTGACACATAGTAGTTATGCGAGTTTACTTTATTTACAGCAAGAACTGCATCAGCAAGTGCCTGCGTCACTGACTGGGTGCTGTCAAAGCGTTGAGGTGTGCTCTCACGATTTGATCGCTGTATCGGGGTTTGGGATGTACTCGCGGTATTTTCCTCAATAGCATTTAACCTAGCCACAATCGACCCTAATGTCACCTTAATCGAACTGTCGCGGTCACGAGAGTGAGAGCGCGACTTGTCACAGTGGCGGGAACGCGAACGAGAATGCCCGTGGTGGTGACGCGTTTTAGAGTGCTTGTGGTGTCGACGCGATTTGCTGCGGGTACGCCCTGCCTTACGGCGACTACGTGGCGTCTCCTCCGAACTTTCACGCGAACGTGACACACGCGGCATTTTGATATTTAACGGTTGTTTGATTTTAAATAATCAAAACGTTTTATTAGAACAAAGATGATATGTGGATTTAGGTGAATCCCACTTCTGATTTTAGAATCTTGAGTGGAGGTAGATTAAAAAAAAAAACAATAACTTTACAAATCAAATTATTTACTTCTATAATCTAATTTTCATAATCAAAATTAACATGATAAACAACCATTAACTATCAGCACTATAACACAATTAAATAACGAACAGCAAATGTGAATAATTACGACTCACCGCAAATTACGCCGATCACCACTTACACAACCTCACTGTCTGAAATATCGCCGCCAAAATGACCAAATAGCGCTTGCGCAGGCGGTTTTATAATAGTGAGTGGGTGACGTCATAATTCGCAGTAGATTACAATAGTTTATGCTAATAATATATTAAATTTATAATTAACAGTATGAGATTTTTTTTCAACTTTATAACCAGTGATCGATATAAAGTATGTCAATTATTAAATTTAGTAAAGGCATAAATAATACTAACTTGTAATAAGTCATAAAATTTAAAAGAACGATGTTCTCTTTACACTCATTTCTTTTACTTTTAAGTCACTATGACAGTTTGTTTATTCTGAACTAAAAGTTTTTAGTGAAATACAAAGTAAAAATTGTCTAAAAATAAGCTTTTACTAACTTTAGAGTACGTGCATTAACTTGAATTAAAAACAAGAGTTAACGCAGCAGTATTTTTTAACTCCATTTATATGTATTTTTGTTAAAATTACAAATATATATATATATATTTATATTTATGAAAGTAATAATGAAAAAGCAAAAGATACAATACCTTTTCCTAAATTATTAATTTTAAAACAAAATCTATATATAAAAGTACTTGATTGCTCGGATAGCAATGTCTTAGATATTTGTATAATTTATTGGTTTATCATACATATGCAAGTTCTTAAGGTAAAGGGAGGATGTAGGGGAGATAGCAAGGACACACATTTTTTTATATTTTGTTCCTGAACGGTCTAGCCATAACGTTGCTTAACTGTAATAGCTATCCGTATCTGGAATCTGTCTCACAGATCCTAGTTATAATGTTGCTGAGTAAGTCAAGGATAATGAAAAGTTCTTAAAATATACCTATTTTTTTAAGTCTATTATTAATTTTATATCGCAAGCATTATTTATTTAAGAATATTTAATAATTTAATTTAGAAATAAAAAATGCAATTGTGATGTTAAACAAATAAATTGTATTAAATTGTCAGGCTCGGTTAGTAGTTAAAAAATTAAGTTATGAATCGATCAGTGACTTCGCTTATCTAAAATCTAAATTGTATTGGTCTGGCAAAATGTTTCAAAATAGATCAATATACTATATATATATATATATATATATGTTTGGGTACTATGTACATAACTTCACAATTATGCTTTCATTTGAAATTTTAAGTTTTCTAATCTACTTAAATTTTCCATCTGTGACTATGTTGCAATACAAGATATTTGTTTTTATTACTTAAAAATAAGGTTATCCGTTTATTGATGTATAAAATCAAGATGTACAAGATCAATTTGAGGCTCCTAATACTGCATGGAACTCTTCTTGATTTTTTCAAATAAAATATGATGAATTAGGAAAGAATATGTAGAATAGTATTATAGAAAGTTTTTTGAAAAATTAATACCGAAAGAAATACCAGAGAGAAGATGACTTTTACAATTTAAAAATTTTCACGATAACCTTAATAATTTTAAAACTAACATTGAACATAAAAACTATTCATTAAACGTAAAAAGCTTAAGCTGGATAAATTATACGATATATGTAACTCATTCTTATTGATGGAGCTATTACTAGGTTTTAATAATAGGTCTTGTGGAAATAAAAGATTTTTACAATTAATCGGTTATTGTAGAAAAATCATACTCGATTTTGTGTAGTATTTCTAAAGTTCTTAAAGAAAGGCTTTCAAATTAATCTTCGTCGAAATGTTGAACATGTATCCAAAAAAGATTGACTTTTTGCTGCGGTTCGATTTTTCAAAAGCATTAACCCATTCAGTAGACGCTTTCGATTACGTAATTGTACCCGTTCTATAACTAGAATCTATTGGTTCTGGTCAACCAGTTGCCTTTTTCACTCTCAATCTAAGTAAATTAAACTCCAGTATGTACTTTGGTTTATTATTTCATAGATAAGGTGCTGAAAAATAAACTGAATATGTATGTATTTTTAGAAAATTAAGAGATAATAGTCCTTTACAATGGTATGAATATTGGATAGGCAAATTCGCGTTTAACCTATGTGAGTAAAGAAACAGTATATAATTTGACTCGACTGAAGAGTCTGGCCTTCGCTAGGTCACCTTCATCACCACATCAAGGCTTTCACAGTCGGTGCAAAGGTGTGTAAGTCAATGTAAAGCTGTGTTAGTGGAGTGATAAGGAGCCAATATCGAGAAGCTCCTCTTTTTTTGAAGTTGGTCAAAAATACCTTCAAACAATGGTTTTTCTTTAATTTTGTTAATATCAAAAAAAAACTTACGACATTTTAAAAGCTCCCTTTACCCATCGGTATGTAATAATATTGATATAAATTTTAAAATACTTTTTTTTATTTAATTACAAAAAAGAAGCAGTCGTCATCAATAATTGTTATTAACCGATAAAATCCGAATAATAAATAAAATAATACTAATTACTCATACAATTTCAAAGTTTCTTACTTTCGAATAATATCCTATAATATATGTATATTATTTCAGAGGAACATTGTATTTGATGGAGTTCAAATTATTTCAGTTATTTGAATATATACTGTATTCATAATTTATGATGAATTGATTTAAAATAAACACCTATTTGTTGTTTTAAATTTCTTTATTTTCTTTTGTTTCCTTATTTATTTATAATTACGTTTATAAAGTTAATTTAAAATAGCTTAGTATATAACCAAGATTTTTGAGTAAAGTAAATTATCTTGCTAGTAAATCAGATTGATATCTATCTTGTTTCATAAAACTCAACCATTGCATGTATAAAAACACATTTACCTTTTTCCATCAATGGTTTGTTTATGGCGGTTTTATTCTTTATTATGTTTATTATACGGTATATCTCTATTTATTTATGTACATGTATATATTTTTTATTAGAAAAACGATATTGAATTGTAAGGTATTTTGCAGTCCAAGATAAATACAGAAATAAATAATAATAATATTATAGAATTAGAAAAAGAAATACTGACACACAAGAAATTATTATTAATGGATTTCATTTCTCGTTAGGAAAGAGATATTCTCTATAATACATAATTTTAGACATTTCTTTTCGTGACTCAACGAGACTCTGAGTTCTGGCAAGACTAATCTATTGTTGACAAAGACAGACTGCAGACAATAATCACAATTAAGTCCTGATTTTCCTTACAACATATTTTTATTTATACCACACAAATTGTTAAGGTACCCGAGTTATAATAACTATATAATTAATCGTTAATAATTTTGTTGTGGACCGGATTATTGTGAACAACAATCAGTTTTTTTAATCAACGAAACTAATAAAAATTATTATTTTAAATGCACTCCAACGCGTAACTTTAGTATTGACTAGTTGTTGTCCGCGACTTCGTCTGCGTTAGTTTCGTCATTAGTAATATATGTATAGCTGACCGGGCGAACTCTATTCCGTTTTAGAGGCCATTAATAATCAGGTTTCTCCTGTTTCAATCGAACAGAATCATTGACATATTAGTTAGTTGTCAAAGAAAACGTTTGTATGGGAAATAGAAAATCCGTTCAGCCGTACTCGAGTTTTAGTGAGACTAAGGAACAGCAATTCATTTTTATATATATAGATTTTAAGCTAACGCCATCATGTAAAATAGATATTTTCGTATCATTCCAGTTCCACTAAAGTTTTAAGACTCCTGTTTCATCATACGATTGATTTTGCGAGAGTGTAACAATTATAATCAATAGATGATTCTTTTTGATATACCTTACAGTCTTTCGTCAACAATTTTATGTTTTATTTAATTCTTATAGTTCCGCTCGTAAACCAATTGTAGCATACTATATGTTATTCAGATAAATAATTTAAGTGACAGTTAAGTTTCATCCTCTTAAATATTCAGATTTCTTTCTTATAATTTCTGTTCTTATATTTTAGTTAAAAGAATTATTCTTTATTGTCCAAATTTCTCGTCTTCTCTATTTACATGCAGGTAATCAATATATGAGTAGAGCGCCATTGCGTTGGCTTGATCAAGTGAAGACCTCGACAAAAGCTCCTGTAAACTTGTACGCCAGGAAGGCATTGATTAGAGAAGAATGGCGTCGAATTGTTAAGCAAGCCACCACTACCCAAACGGATGACCACGACCACTCTGTCAAGAGTGACACCGACTGAGAAGAAGAATCAATATATGACTTTTATTATTTCTAGACCCGACACAAAAAATATACTAGTTATATTTTTTTTTTAATATGTGTTTTAGATTGAGTATATGAATATATAGTATAAAAACTTACCATTGGGAAAAATATTAGAAGTAAATATATATAATTCGCAAAAATATTAGAAGTATATATATACATATATTAAATTAAAAAGGAGAGCGTCAAAGGAAGCGATATTAATGTACATAGTTAGCTGAGCAACAGTTAAATGATGTATCTTGTTTTGTTATGTTTATGTATTTTGTTTTCCAATCAACAAATCAAATCAACATTTTTTATTAGAAATCTATGGCTACTGCGAATTATAATTAATCACTTGACTATACTGGTAAGACTAACAATCGTCTAAACTGTGCTAATATGTATTTGAGTCTAGAAACACGTACTGTGTATTTGAATCCAGTATTTAAACATATATTGATGTATGGTTACGGACGTCTGCTATGGTAATCCTATTTTTGATAAATTATAACCTATGGTAGCAGTATTCATCACTATAAGTTTCTTTGTTCGTGCGAACATTACCATTATCAAATAGTTT